GCTCCCTGGATGTAGGTGAACTACAACTCCAAAACTCAAGGTCGATTCCCATCAAACCCTTCTAGTATTTTCTGTTGGTCATGTGAGTTCTGTGTGCCAAGACTGGTTCAATTCCAGTGGAGTTCAGAATGCTCTTTGATAGTAGATGGGCTATAAATCCCAGCAACTACAACTCCCTAATGACAAAATCAATGCCCCTCCAACTCCACCAGTATTCAAATTTGGACATATTGGGTATTTGTGCCAAATTTGGTCCATCTCCCTTAAATTGTGGTGTCCAGAATTGTACAAAGTTGGATGAGTTAAGATGTATGTAACCCATCTCTATTATTTTAGTTCCCTGAATATGCCAGTGCAATCCTGCTTTTGGCTAACCTTGTTCAAAGGCATTGGTGCCCATCATGCACAGCCACCAGAATATGGCAAGGAGAGGGTGAGGTTAGCTATTCTCCAGCAGAGAGCTCCTGCTTTGAACTTGGTTGCCCTGTTGCGTGAGATGATGGAACGGCTCTTTTCAACTCCGTTGCCCTCTGGCATGCAAGCAAAGGAGAGGAGATATCGTTGAGCCGAGGAGAAAAAAATGAAGGCACAAAGGTAACTCAGAGCAAATTATTTGTGCAGAACGTTCTAGAACGGTGCACCGGGCAAAACGCCTTCCAAGGAATGAAATGAACCTTTGGCAGGCACATATAAATCACTTTTGCACACACATAGAAATCACTCTTGCATTGCAAAAACATTGCAAAAGGTATTGAAAGATTAGAGGTGTATCTACACTGTAGATGGAATGCAGTTTGACCCCACTTGAACTGCCTTGGCTCAGTGTGATGGAATCCTGGGAGGTGTAGTTTTCCAAGGTCTTCTCTATCAAAGAGTGCTGTGCCTCATCAAAGTACAACTGTAAGGCTTCCATTTGCATTGAGCCATGACAGTTAAAGTGGGATCAAACTGCATTCATTCTATAGTGTAGATAAGGCATGGGCAAACTTGGGCCCTCCAGGTGTTTTGGACTTCAACTCCCACAATTCCTAACAGCCGGTAGGCTGTTAGGAATTGTGGGAGTTGAAGTCCAAAACACCTGGAGGGCCCAAGGTTGCCCATGTCTAGTATAGATGCGCCCAATGTCCTTTGTGGTTCCTTGTATAATATAATGTAATATAATATATTGTATATACATATAATATTTTTAATATTATAATGAAATACAATATAATACTAATACTAATAATATGATATTATAATGATATATTTTATATTACATGTAATATTACTAATAATATTACAATATAATGGAATAGTTCAATATAGTAATATATAATACTGACATTGTACTATGTTAATAATATAATATATTGAATATATACGAGGGTTGAATGAGAAGTAATGCCTCCACCTTCATAACTCCTCAACAGATGGCAGTACTGGTATGTGGCAGGTACTGGCTTGTTCAGTAGACTCTCCTCTACAGTTCCATGTTGTCGGGAAGCCTTAGCATTAAATGGTTGTGTTGTTAAAGTGCAGAGTATGGAACCTTACGCAGACGTTTGGTCAATGTGACTTAAGCAATATTCCTGCTTCTTGGCAGGGGGTTGGACTGGATGGCCCATGAGGTCTCTTCCAACTCTTTGATTCTATGATTCTATGATTAAGCAACATGCTGTCATTGAATTTTTGACAGCAGAAGGTGTCACCCCAAAGGAGATTCATCAGAGAATGCAAGCTGTTTATGGTGATTGTGTTGATGTGAGTACTGTGCCTCATTGGGCGAGTAAGTTTAAAGATGTTGAGATGGGAACATCTGACTTGCGTGACAAACAAAGAGTTGGATGTCCTGTGACAGCAACCACAGAGTTTCACAAGCAAAAGCGCAGTGTGGAACTCATCTCACCACACTAAAACAGTGGATGTGGCTCTTAATGAGACATGCCTCATTATCATGGGGTGTCTGCGCCCTACACCACTGGAGAAATTACACTGTTTAGCTGGTAATGCACCACCTGACATCTGCTGAGAAGTAGCAGCCAATAGTGAAAGGACCAAGGCAGAGACATCTCCAGTGCATCCCTTGTTTGGGTATCAGCCAGCACGTCGACGACTTAAAACAAGAAATAGTTTTCTAAGATCTACAGAGAACACCCCAGCAAGCGAGAGTCCAAAAGTGGCAGGCTCAAACCCAGAACCTCAATCAATGGCTGATACCAAATGAGAGACTCCCTCCTGGGCACACAGAAAACTGGGCGATTTGAACAGACTGCGCTCTGGCACCATGAGATGCAGAGCCAACCTCAAGAAATGGAGCCACAAAGTGGAATGCACAACATGCAAGTGTGGAGAAGAGCAAACCACTGACCACCTGCTGCAATGCAACCTGAGCCCTGCTACA